CTATTGTTTGTCGTTGCTATAAAATTTTTAATAGGCACGACTTTATTGTTGTGCCAATTTTGTCGTTCCTACTAAGCTTGTTTCTTGTAGTGGATCAGCTATTTCTGACGGTTACAAATTTCGACGGAAGATTTTCGTAACGAGACCATAGCATTTCCCTGTATATATATATTCTTATGATAAAAGAAAATGGAGATTTTTTCTACTGAAATAGTGATTGTAGTGTGATATTACAAGTCAGCACCGTTACGAGGTAGGGTCTTTTGTTTTCACACAAATAGCTGTCCTCTCTGAACAGTATTTAAAGTGATCAGCACGCAACATTAATCAAAATTTTTTTTTTTATTATTATTAATTTTTATATTTTAATTAGTGGATCAATCATCTTTAAGTGTGGGTATAGAAAAGATTTGGAAATGCTGCCTTTTACCATAAGATTTAAGAGTGAAATTAGGTTTGAATTTCATTTGGTGTGTTTTACTAAAAGATTCAACAGTTTTATGTTTGGATTTCTCACTTGGTGTTGCTGAGTAAAACCGAGTCGAACCGTGCAATACGATAGAGCTAGGTTCGTTTATTTTTTTAATATAAAAAGTGTCGGTTCAATTTTTTTTCTGGTGGTTTGATTTTTCCTATATTGTGGTGCAGTTTAATTATTATTTTTCATAAGTTTTGTTTTTGCTTTTGTTATGCACCAAACTTTTTCAAATTAAATATATACTAATACTAATACTCATGTACAATATGAATGTTGAATTAATAAATATATGTGTAAAGTTATTTATGTCTAATATCAAACTCAACTCCAGAGCAAAAATAATATAAAAACAATATCACGAAGCATAGATTTTCGCCATGTAGACATTCGAAGCGTGAAAATTTACCACGTAGGCTTAATATATAAGGAGGGGTTAATATATAGGGAGGGATGTACAGAAAATTGAGGCAAAATAAAAAAGAAGTCAAACCATTCATTTTGGTACGCGGTTCGATTAAGTTATTTTAGTGTAATTTATTTTTCAATTAGGCCACTATTTTTATAGGTTTGACTTTTTTAATTTTTGCGGTTTTTTATTGTTTTCAACAAACGACACCATTGTTCACCCCCTTCTTGTTATATTGTTTTGTTCTTCGAATTGCATTTCAATAGGAAATTGGTTCAATTCCTACTGGAGGCATGTCGACCGAACCCTTAGGGCTTACTTGTTTATGAAATAATTTACTCAAAATGAGTTATTTTAATTAAATAGAGTTAAATTTAAAAAATGATGTATGATTAATTGTCAGTGAGATTTTAATAATGTATTAAAATAATATTTTAAAAAATGATTATTATTAATTTGGAAATGATAGATAGTTAAAGTTATGTGAGTCGATAAATAGTGAATTAAAGTTGATGTGATATGCAAGAATGATTGGTTTATAATATTTAATTATATAAATAATATTAAGGATACTAGAGTTGAGTTAAAGTTGAGTTAGATTTTGAGTATGAAATAAATGTGATCAAATTATTTCATAAACAAGCATGCCCTTATTGTACAGTTGTGTAAACGAGGTTCGACTGAACTTGCTCGTTTTTTTTCGTTTTCTCTCATACAAGTTTTGAACGAACAAATCGTTTACAAAAGAATAAATAGCATTTGAGAACACCTTATATATGATTTTGACTTTACTAAACGAGCTGAGCTGACTTGTTTAGTAAACGAACACGAACTCGAACACAAAGCCATCGGGTGGCTCAGCTTTGGCCAACAACACCCTTATTTAAATTGTAATATTATTAAAATTGCCCTTTACTATGCAATGTTTTGAGTTGGGATATAGCCTTTAGGTAGGTAGAGATGCATGCAGGTGGTTTTGCCTCAAGCTTCTCGTTTTCCCCGTTGAGCCTGACCCGACCCATCTCTCTGTTTGATTTTTTATTAATACTTTAATCCTTGCTTACGTCATTAAATCCGTCATCATCTGATACATAGGCATTAGCATTAGGCCTGGTAATCTGCTGTAATACGTTTCATAAATGTTAAATTGGAAAATATTAATATTATCATGTGAAGGTGAAGCTACTTTAAATTGGTAATCCGCGTTTTTAGGTCGGATAGCACCATGTCCGATCGCAATTTTCGGCCGGACGGCTGGAAAACGTACCTCGCTTGAAGACGTTTTTTGCTGGAAATCGCCTGATCTAAAGGATTTTACAATTTTCTAAATTTTTTAAAAAAATGAGAAAAGCAAAATAGTCCCAGAAAGGCGGTGCGTAGTAATAGGAGCGCGGTGGGATCAACTTGTGGATTTTAATAAATCCAATTAAATGTCAAGCAAGTTGATCATGAATTCAAAGAGTATATTATAATTTATAATTTATAAAGCAATCATGATCAAACACAGGCAATTGTCCAAAGGGTCTCTACTTCAATTCATTCCCAAAATTTCCTTGACCCAAAGAATATTAATGTTATTATCCTGAGGCTCCCCAATCCCTAATTCAAGTAAAGGACAAAAATGAAGACAAGTGTCAAGAGAGGGGTAGAGTGTAAGATAAACCAAACACAATTTTAAATTAAAAATCTATCATCAAAGCTAGATAAGCAAAATCGAGCCGAAACTGAAAAATCGAGTGGAATCGTGCAATTCGGTGCGGTGCAGTTCGGTTTTTTTATGTAATGCGGTTAGTTTTTCATTTCGATTTTCGGTTTTGTTCGGTTTAGTGCAGTTTACTCCACACCAAATAGAATAAAATGTTTAGAAAAATCAAAAAAAAAAAAAAAAA